TTAACACCACCAATAGTGGATGAAATGAAATGATATATTGTATGAAATGATGTACTGAGAACACTTTGTGTCTGTGGTTTTCTTGCCAGAAATCTATGCCCAGTCTACTCACGTGAACACATCAGACAAAACTAAACTAAGGGACATTCTGCAAAATACTTGACCAACACTCTTTTAGAAAAGTGTCAAGGTCATGACAAACAAGGAAAGGCTGGAAAACTGTCACAGATGGGAGGAGACAAAGGAAACATGTTGGATAAATGCCATGAGGTGTCCTGAACTGGATTCTGGAACATAAAGCAAACGCTAGTAGAAAACTGGTTAAGCCCCGATAAAGTCAATGGTTTAGTTGATACACTGCCCCAGTGTTAATTGCTTGGTTTTGATGAATGGACTATGGTTGTGTGCAATGTTAGCATTCAGGAGACTTGGGGGGTGAGGTTTATATGGGATCTCTGCCACTCCATTGTAAGGTTAAAACTATTTCAAAATAAAGAGTTTACATAAAAGAAAAGGAAGAAGAAAGAATATATTTTAGTTAAGGGGAACTGCATGAGCAAAGCACAGAAATAGGAAACCCCCTGATGTCTGGATGGGGAAGTAACTGCTGAGAGCAGACAGAGATCTACATCTTTAAGTCAACGTATGCCACAGCACATTTTGATGTGTGGAAGGGCAGCATCCAGACAATGGCGTCCTTATATATAAGGTGACCATATAATGTATCGTCTGAGGTATGTTTGAGAATGAAAAGGTGTGCTCAGCAGACAGGAGGTCAGGACAACAAGCAAAAAGTATGGTCACAGCAGTGTTTTCCATAATGTGTATTTGAAGGTATTACTAAGTGTAAAAAATTTCCATGGCCAAATACACTTAGAAAATAGTGGGTAAAAGAAATTTATGCTTGTTTCTTTACTGAACCACTTCTCGGAGCCTTTAATTTATATGTGAATCCTTTCTATGTGAATCTTCAAGAATGTAATTTAATATGTTTCTCAAACATTTCTCATAGACCAACTCCCTGATTCCTTATCTCAACCAACACAATCCGCCACCTCTGCCCAGTCTCTGCTGTCTTATTGTTAAGAAACACACTTAGGGGCATGCCAAAAACATTGTGATGGCATGAAACCTGGAGTGATGTTTTCAGATTGGTGCTTCAAATATTCAGTGATGGCTTTGAAGATAATGATGTTGGTGTGAACTGCAGGTAAGAAATCCAATGAAGAGGCTGATGCAGTGGATCAGGGTGCTGTTGATATGGGACAGAGAAAAAAGGGCACCCAAGAACAAAACTTAGGAGGCAAAATTGTCTATGTAAGATTTCCAATAAATGCCTATTTATTACTTTCACAATTAAACAACAGAGAAAAAATCTATTCTGTGCTTGGCATATGACCAGGCACTTGAGTGGTCTTCAACAGAAACTGGGTAGACCATAGAAAGACACAGAAGGGGCTTAAAAATAAAGCACAACTAGACTAACTCTTGTAAATTAAATATCAATTTAAGCTTCTTTTTACTCTAGTGCAGATTTCTTAAAACAGATGTGATTTTCCCATTGTATTTTAAATAATAAAAAAAACTTTCACAAGTCTCTCATTTACTAGGAAGTTCCTGTTGCTATGTTTACTTTTTTATATTTTTTATATCTTTGTCTTTCCCAGACAGTGGTCATTTAAAAAATAGTTTTAGTTCAGTGATTATTAAATAAACAGGTAATTATCTCCTTCCACTCATTGGGATTGCTATTCCAGACACTGGAGATTCAGCAGATAGTTCTTTGTTCTACTTGGCAGAGGTTATACACATAGGTGGTATTTATATTAGTATGGACACAAGTCTGCAGATAACATTTCTTACTCAAGAATTTCTGAGTTCCCTTTAAAGTTTCTCTAAGAAGGCCCAATCCCCCAAAATCTGGAAAATCCAAATTACAAGCTGTCGGCCTTAGGTAACTTCTGCACATGTAAAGCATTTGTTTGGGGGGAAGTGACATTATCTTGTATCAAACTGGGAGAATTTTTAGCTCTTCCAGGTTCTATGCACCTGGCTGAGTTTCACTTGGTAGCAGGCAGATGCTTAGATGGAGTACTATAAATGCCAGAGACTCTTTTATAATTCATTTAATCTCTAAATTTTGCAAGATTATCTAGACTATACTTATTTTTTTTTCATACAGAGCAGAGACATCTTATTTTTAGGTTTTCAAAAGATCTAGAAGTCCTCTCATATTTTAAAATGACAAATGAAAATGAACTCAGGAGAGGACTCATCCAGCTAAGCTTTGGTGCTAGTGCAGTGAGTCATTAGCAGGGCACTTAACCTCAGGTTCTCTTTCTGAGTGTGGTGTTATACCTTCTCCTCCCACAGCCCAGGTTCTTTAGTAACATGAATGGGTGTTTGAAAAGTACACTAAACCTCATGCAGATGTAAGGTCTTTCTACCAGAGTTCCTTCGATGGCTGAAATGCCTGTTCCTTAATTTCACCAACCACTTCAGAATTCCTAAGCACAATGCACAACTTTCAGTTCTTGATTTACTTGAATCTTCGGTGACAAGTGACATCATAGACCATTCCTTCTTTTTGAAAATTGTTCCTTCATTCTCTAATTTAACTTTTCCCATTTTATTTCCTGTCTTACGGATTACCCCTTTTCAGGATTTTTCTTTCTTTGCCCATCTCTTAAACACGTAACAATGTACTCATCTCTTCCTAAAGCTCCAATTGGAATTCTATCCTGAACTCCAGCTGACATTTTCAAGTGCCTGTCGGCCACCGGACATGTCAAACTGGACATCACTTCCCCAGAATTTTAAATCTGACACATGCAAAGCTAACCTCAGTGTCACCTTACCATCTCCATTCTCAAACTGCCTTTCCTCTAGTAGCAATCTTAAATCTCAGGGAGTGGCCACATGTTCAGCTCAGTTCCATGTGCATACTCCATATCTAGTTGATTTCCAAGGCTACTTAAATATTTCTGAGGCCAGTTTTCACCTCTTCTGTGTATTTGCCTGTGCAGTTCTTCCATATCTCTAGTATTGGGAAGACTCCTAATGGAGAGATGCTATTATTGCAACAGCTTCATCCACGATCTTTCTCTCTGACTTCAGTCTCAGTGGTATTCCCTTATAATTTTCCTTGCTTCCCCAGAGTTTATTTCATAGCATAAAATTATGAGCACAATATACATTTGCTTAAAATCTTTCAACGGTTTAACTACTGCTAGACAGTCACTTAACTTGACACAGAGGCCTTTCATTATAAGAACTCTGATTGCTTTTCCAGTCTCTTGTCCTCTAATCCATTCCCTATGCTTTATCTAAATGAACTTATATACAGATCCCTAAAAGTTTGTACTTGCCCATCATATTATGAATTTTTATGTGCTTTTTTTTGGCCTGGATTATCTTTTTCTATATTGTCTTCCTGGTGAACTCTTATACATCTTTCAAGATTTTGTTAATGCTTCTTTGAAATTGTTCTTGACCACACTGTAAGCCACACCCTTCTCGGAGCTCTTGTGGTGCTTTGCACAAATCTGTATCATAGCACCTCTTACAGTGTCTTGGAAAGGATCTCACTCCTTAGTTTCCTTGAAGGAAATCTATATCCTACTTATCTGGGTATCTACAGTGCCTGACATAGTCCCTGGCACATAGCAACCTCTCAATGAGCATTTGCTGAATGAATCGTATGGTAGAAAAATCTCCAGTTTCTGAATTAGGATATCTAGACCCCTGCTGCTTATAATTATTTATATGACTTTGACAAAGTTCCTTTGGGGGTTTCAGTTTCTTTAATCTGTGAAATGAGGAAGTAGAGCTAGATTTTCTTTAAGAGCCTCTCTAGCTTTACACAGTTGACACTATCACCCATTACAGAATTTGAAACACATATTTTGTCCGATCACAGAATGTTTTATAGAAATTTAAGAGTATTGAAAAAGGGAGGGATTTCACATAAAAATCTGAATTTCCTTTATATTTTGAAAAAAGTAGATAATTTGACTATATTGGGTCAATTCCTTTAAAAGTCTGCAATGGCTCTGGCAGAATCACATTGCCCCTTGAAGATGGGTGTGTGCCTTCTGCTTGGCCAGCATGCCCCTTCCTTTCTGCTTCTTCTATTTCACTGAGGTGGATTGAGGGTTGTTACCTATCACTACAGTTGCCCTGTAGTCTTGTGTAGAAAAGATACTGAAAATATTTCCTTCATCCATTTTTCTGTCAAAAGTAAAAAAATGAAAAACAGACTGAGAAACCCTTGCTTTCTTAGCTTTGGCTGACATTACTCATTTAGGTACACATGTATGTACAATACAAAATATCCTAGAATTTGCTCAGGCAGTACTGACTGGTTCAAAACATTTGGGGTTTTGTTTTTTTACCTAAGTGCATCTGGATTTTTGATATAACGTGCCCTTATGATCCTTTTAGAAAATAGGTAAAGGCTAAGCCAATCTGTCTTTTAATTAACGTGGGGAGGTACTTCTTTTATTTGAAGCAATTGATGCTTTTCACCTAAAAATTACATTATGTTTTATTATTTATTATTAGAACCACTGGGCTTGTTTCAAACCCTGTGACACATTGGAAAACTTGTCTACTAAGCGAGCACCCGCGAGTGACCCTTCATTTATTCTTTCATTGTTCCTGCTAGGATTGCGTATTTGCGTTCTCATTTTTAAATGGAGCTGAGAATACAGTCTACTGCAGCGTTAATGTTAGGAAAATAGGCATGAGCTGATGGGGCGGGGTGAAGATCAGAGTCTGGGGAGGCTGGCTTCACCTGATAAAGACAACTGCCATTCACTCTCTCCTCTTTTTTTTTTTGCACGCCGGGCAAGGCGTTCACCATCCAAACGTCAGGCTTCAAAGAAAAGCTTCCTTGCAATTTTGCCGATATCCCCATTCCTTAGCTGGGAACCAGAGGGGGCGGGAGAGGGCTGCCGTCACTCAGACCCACAGACCAATGGGAGAGGAGCTAGCCCCGCCTTCTTCACTAGGCTGTGCTGCGGGCATGCGCACTGGGCGTCCCAGCGCCGCCGCCCATCAGCTGAGAATTGGCCCTAGGGGTTCTGGGGCCCGTGGGAGACAGTGACCGAAGGAGGCGGAGGAGGAAGCTGAGGAGGTCAAGGTAAGAGGAGCCAGGGGAGGGGGCGCTCCCAGCCCTGAGCCTCGGAGGCGCGATGCGATGGTGGCTGCTGCGCCTGGTTCGTGCGTGTTGTCAGGTGGCCGCCGCCCTGCGCTCTGCGGCAGGCGCTGGGAAGGCGAGGGGTCGGCGCTGCGGGGGGCTCCGGGGCCCCCGCCCGGCCTGGCGTGGCGGTGCGGTGCGTTCCGCATTCCTGGCGCGCGGCTGCGGTCGGGCGGCGCCCCGGGTCCTGTTCCCCAGGGTGCACCGGCCGGTGGGGCGCCCTAGGCTGGGCGGGCGCTGCAGCCGGTCCGGGCCCAGCTCTGGAATCCAGGTTCTGCCTGGGACAAGGCACGACCAGTTGACCTCTTCCTCTTTTTAACTCACGCTTTGAAAAACACACTTGAGACTTCTCTTCCCGAATAGAGAGGAACTGAAAGATACATGGCTGTGGTAAACGAACCGTATACATTTAAACAAATGTTTTACGTTTGCTTGGCTCTTATTTATAAATACATTAATTTTTCTTTACTTCACGTCATGACATTCTATCTGTAATTTTACAGTATATAATTTAAAACTTGCCCCAAAATCTGGAAGAAAAAGGAAGTAATGATCAAATGTGCGGTTTAGTAATGTTGGAGGCGGGGTGCCCTGAGTCTCACCTGGGCAGAGGCTGAGACCAGCCTTCTTAAACTGTGTCTTCTGCTTTGCAAGCCTCTTCGAGAAGTTGACCTCAGACTTGTGACTAGCTAAGAATTGTGCTCTAGTTTCAACCTTTCTATGCATGTGAAAATGATACCATATTAATTCGTTAACTTCTACATCATTCTTCAGGTATTTTATTTACGTTGCTCCTATTAAAATCAATTCTGATTTTGGTTATGATCCCAAACTTTAGCCGAGTGCTGGTGATCGCAAATTAAATTATAGAAGACATCCACACAAAGTCTGGGTAAAGATTGCTGTGATTCCATTTAATTTGAAATTTAGTGTGTAAAAGGCTGAAAGAAAATCTGTGGCATTGTGAACTAAAACCAAATAGTGTAAATAGTCCTTTAGCTGAGCTAAAGAAGACAGTTATAATTTGCATAGAGAATACTCATGTTGTAGACTGCCCACCCTCACACACAGTGACCATCTCCTGTGTACAGGGCACTAGGGATACCCCACGATGAGGTTGTCTCTCTTGTTTATGTTCCAGAAGTAGGGATCAATAATAAGAGCATACTAATTAAATCTATTATATTAGATCTATATATACTATGCAGATTTATGAAGTAGTAAGTTAGATTTACAGAGAATGGCAGGGTAGTGAATTCTCACTTCAAATTAAAGGGCACCAGAGGCTTCTCAAGCATGTGATGAGATCTTGCTGGGGAGAAGGAGCCAGTCACATGGAGGTCATGGGAAGAGCCTTCTAGAGATAGGAAATGGCACCCAGCAAAGGCCCAAGGCAGCAAGAAGCCTGGGACATTTAGGATCTGAAAGAGGGCACTGGAATTCAATGTTTTAGAGATGGTAATATTTATCCTTAAACTAGGTGTGTGTTCTTGGGAAGTAGGTACATTTATTCATTCGTTCTTCAAATATTTGTTAAGCACCTATGGTGTAGTCAGGTACTGAGAATAGGGCAGTCCACAAAATAAACAATTGACCCTTCTCCCCCAGTAACTTGACATATGGGGCACAGGATGGAGGGAAGCCCAGTTGTTTATGCTGATGCTTATAATTAAGAAAGTGAAAATGACCACTTCTTTGCCCATTTTTAGAGCATGAGATTTATGTTTTGTAGAAATCTTAAGGATTCCACAATACATCCAGTAGTAACAGAGGGTAGGGTTTGACTCTGAGTCCATTTTGAAATTTCCTTTGTTCATTCTTTTGTGTTCTTTACGAGCAATCTTGAGAAGGCTCTCAGTATGAGCATTGCACTTCTATCCCCCTTTCCCATCTTTCTCTTATAGTGTCTGTGTATCCTCATAGAAGGATGATCATTGAAATGTTGAGATGAGCACTGTGTAATAGAATGTTCTGTGATGATGGAAATGGTCTATATGTGAGCTGTCCAAGTTGCAGGCCACTAGCCACATACAAATTTTCAGTGTTTGAAAAATGTCTAGTGTGACTGTGGAATTGAATTTTTTAAATAAGTTTAATTTTAATTCTCATTTTTAAAAAAATAGTAGCTGCAATGTAATTTAAGTGATACATTTTGAGGTGATATCTATCAACTCATTTGTCATTTCTTTGTGTTAAGAACATTCAAAATATGCTATTTGAAAATAGCATTTTAGCTATTTGAAAATATACAATAAATTGTTGATAATTATAGTCACTCATGGCCAGTGGCTCATGCCTGTAATCCTGGCATTTGGGAGGCCAAGGCAGGGGGATCCCTTGAGGTTTGGAAATCAAAACCAGCCTATACAAGAATCTTTACTAAAAATAGAAAAATTAGCCCTGCATTGTGGCAGGCACTTATAGTCCATACTGCTTGTGAGGCCGAGGCAGAAGGATTGCTTGAGCCCCGGAGTTTGCTATGGGCTAGGCTGAGGCCACAGCACTAAAGCCTGGGCAACAGAGCAAGACTGTTTCAAAAAGAAGAAAAAAATTATTCACTTTTTAGTGCTGTAGAGCCCTGGCAATGTTTCTTCCTCTCTAGCTGTACCTTTGTGTCTACTAACCTTTACCTATCCCCCTTCCCAGTTCCCCTTCCTGGCCTTTAGTGACCGCCGTAACTTTAATTTTAATAGCCCGTTTAGTTTGTGACTACTTTATTAGACAGTGCTGGTCTAGATAGTGAGTTAATGTAATAATTTGTCTCAGTGAAGAAGCTAGGAATTCAGAATGGGCTTTCACAAGTATTCAATAAGAGCACTTTGGTGCAAAAAGCAGGCTGGCTACTTGAGACTGATGTGGAATGCAGACATCTGAATAACTTGACATTCGTTTAGCTCATATGCAAAGATCATAAGCTTTTAAGTCAATTTGTAGTTATCTATCTATGTATGTATTTGGGTGTATATATATTTTTACCATTTTTACCATTTTACCCTTTGGCCCGTATTTCTTGCATCGCATCATCAGAAGACCAAACCATTGTTGCCTTTTAGGTTTCCACTCACCAGCAGAATAACAGAGAAAAGGAGAAAGCTATTCAGGTGTGTTACCTTGACCATCTCATGTAGCTATCCCAAACCTGTTTCTTCATCTTAGCAGTGGGAATAGCAGAACTTGATATGAGGCCTGCAGAAAGGTGGTAAATTTGGTTTTTGTGATTGACTGAGTTCACTGGCCCATGATTTTGTTATACAAGAAAGAAGTGTGGTTTAGTGTTTAAAAAATGTAAGCTCTAAAATTTTAGTTCTTTTGCTAATCTTAAGCAAGTTACTTAGTCTCAGTATGCCTCAGTTGCTTCATGTAAAAAAAAAATCACAATAATAATGTTTATCTCATAGGCCTGTTGAAAAAATTAACTGAGAAAATAAATGTAAAAGTCCTAATTGCAATGCTTCAGAAATAGTAGGTCCTGGATAAGTCTTGTCCAGTGTTAATCTTGTTTTATTTTTCCATATCTTTCTTCTCCATCATTTACAAATGCAAATTGTTTTACATTGCAAGACTGCCCTGAGATGGTCACCTTTGTGCCCTTTCACTAAGGAACTTCTACAGTCCAAAGGTAGCAGCTCTTTGGGCTTTAGGCAAATGAAGCTCAATCATCTCACCAGCAACAATGTTCTCCAATTTAGTTGCTTGAGTAACAGGGTTGAGAAAAACTGTGTTTGTGACTAATTGGTACATTGTCTGGAGAGGAAAGAAGGTGATCTTAAAAGAAATCAGTAAGAAGACAGGCTAAACTGGAGTAAGTTTTGAGAATTAAGGAAAATGCTACAATACTGTGCTTAAATCATCAGGATTGGGATTTTACTCCCTCTGTCAGGGAGAGAGTAGGCCTCAGGTGATTTCGTGGTTATGTGGTTCTAAGAAACTGAGGTTGCCATAGTCTGGTGCTAGTCCTGATCGTGCAGATGCAAAAGCAGACTGTACCTTTCTTCTGTGTAGAGTGGGAAAGCACTTGGTCCCTGGATGTGCATTCTCTCTTTTTGATCCTGGCAGCAGGCCCACATGCTAAGTGTCTCACTCAAGGTAGAGATTTCTGATTGCCAGTTCTGCTGGCAGCTAACCAGGCAGTTGGTAAGTTCTCATAGGTTCAAAGACACTGGAGAGTTAAGAGAATGACTTGGAGAGAGGCAGTCTTCATGTGAGACTGATTCGTGCGTGGTAAAATGGAACCAGGAGGGTGGAGGAGACCCCCAGGGAGAGTACTTTAATAAGAAACGAACATTTTCTTATACAATATGTTTGTGTTAGCTGTAAGCCAGTTTTTCCAGAGCTCTAGTTGATAGAGGGAAAGAAGAAAGGAGGATGTCATTGAGCCAGAGAAGTCCTCTTTATCCATATAGTGGACTATTAGGAATATAGTACTGATATGTGCTACAACATAGGGGGGCCTTGCAAACATGCAAAGAGAAAGAAGCTGGTCACAAAGAACATGTATGACTCCATTCTTTTTTTTTTTTTTGTAGAGACAGAGTCTCACTTTTTCGCCCTCGGTAGAGTGCAGCGGAGTCGCTCCTGCAACCTCCAACTCCTGGGCTTAGGCAATTCTTCTGCCTCAGCCTCCCAAGTAGCTGGGACTACAGGCGCCCGCCACAACGCCCAGCTATTTTTTGTTGCAGTTTGGCCGGGGCTGGGTTTGAACCCGCCACCCTCGGTATATGGGGCCGGCGCCTTACTCACTGAGCCACAGGCGCCTCCCTATGACTCCATTCTTATGAAATGTCCAGAGTGGGCAAAACTACAAGGACATAATTAGCAGAGGTCTCTGGCTGGGGAGAAGTACAGAGTGACGGTTAACGGGTATGGATTTTTTTTTTAGAGTAATGGAAATGCTCTAAAACATTTAATGGTGTAGTGATGGAAATATGACTTGGAATATGCTTAAAAAACCAACAGTCTGGCACCGTGGCAGTGGTGGCATCACAAGCACCAACGGTGGGGATTCCAGCAGTGTCTGCCAGGCCCTCTGCATGATGTCCAAGGCCAAGGAGGCCCAGGAGCTGGCAGACAATACAGCTGTGGAGAACCATGTGCTGGGAATTGGAAGTAGTTCTATAGTTGTCCATGCTGTGCAGTGAGTAGCTGAAAGAGTGAATCAGGAGAGTCTGAGCTTCGTCTGTATTCCCACTTCATTCCAGCCCAGCAGGCAGCTTCTCCTGTAGTATGGCTAAGCAAATAGATGCTGATCTCAGTTTCAGCAAGGGTGGTGGAGGCTGTCTGACCCAGAAGAAGATCATGGCTGATTGTGCCAGTGGCTTCACAAAGGTTGCTGATTTCAGGAAAGGTCAAAGAACCTTGGGCATCAGTAGCACAAGGGAATTCCCATAGAGGTCATCTTAGTCATCTTGCCCATCGCCTGCATCCCAGTGAGCTGAGCTGTGAGCCAGAAGGTTGGGAATGTTGTTGAACTCCAAGTGGCTGTTAACAAAGCAGGTCCCATGGTGACAGATAATGGGAATTTTATCTTGGATTGGAAATTTGACCGGGTATACAAATGGAGTGAAGTGGGCACAGCTATGGGAATGATCCTAGTTGTGGTTGACACAGGTTTGTTCATTAACATGGCTAAGACAGTCTGCTTTGGATGGCTCAGTGAACATAAGGAAGAAGTCTTTCTGTTGACCCTGCGAAGAGTAGGGTGTGGTTGCCTTGAGTCTCCAGTCCACAGCCAGGTTGGCTGGACCTCTCTCCAGGAGCCTTTGCTTTAATGTAGCTATGCCAGGGTGAGGAGGTGGTGTTTAAATCTAGTCTTCTGAAGTATTGTTATTAAATGTCTTCTTAATAAGGAAATGTAAATATATACTTTTACTATTAAAGTATCCAGTTTTTTTATGGAGCAGAGTTTGATTTAATGTTTTATAAGAAATATTTACCAAAAATTGGGGGGAGGAGTGAGGGTACTGTCTTAAAACCTTTGACTTGAGCCTGTTGGTTAAGCATGTGGATTTTGGCTTTGCTAAGAAATAAAAATAAAAACTTTTCTTTAAGCTGGTAAAATGAAGGATCTACCTAGCTGTGATCTCCTGATGCCTATCTGGAAACTTTTTAAGCTGGTAAAATGCAGGGCCTAACCAGCTGTGATCTCCTGATGCCTATCTGGAAACTCTTGTATACTTGTCTGCCACGTTGCTGTCTTTAGTTAGTGTGACCACACACAATACCTAGTTATATCTTAAGAGCAGGTTTCCAGAAATTTGTGCAGTAGAGAATTGTGGTGCAGAGCGACTTGGAATATAAGCTGTCTGGGAGTAGATGTGATTGTACTTTTGCTAAGATCAGAAGTCTTCTCCAGATTCTTGCTGTTGGAAACAATTGGCCAGAAATGCTTGCCAATACTGCCAAAGCACCTATGAGACATGTGAAATATTTCTTTAATAATTTTGCTGTTAATATTTTTTGCTGTTTGTTGATTACTACTTGCATGGTTTAGCATTAGAAGTTGTTGCCTGGTTATACTGTTTGCAGATTGAAATAAAACAGTGTGGTCCCCCCAAAAATGAGATTGCATACTTTAAATAGGTGAATTATAGGTTCTGTGAGTTATATCTCAATAATGCCTGTATTTTTTTTTTTTAAATGCAGATTTTAGAGATCCAATTGCTGGTTTGTAGAATGCTTAGTAAGTGTTGTTCTTACTGAACCCCCAGGTCTGGTCTTGTGTCTGGGTCCAAGTCCAAGGCTACCCTGAGGAAAGTTTATTTCTGTGGCCCCACTGCAATGGTCCAACTGTCTGACTTGGAGGTTTGAATTTACCCTTTTATGAAATTGATTTTGGGTATATCTCTAGGGTTTGGTGTGACTTACAGGGCCCAGAGTAAATAAACTGGACATGGACAATAATGAAGATTGGAGAACATCTTAAAGCTGTCACGACTTTTAGGGTGGCTAGGCACATTCCACGATGCCCTGGAGTTTCGGGCATAGAACCTGCACTGTTCTACTGGTGGCAGTATTTCAGCTATTGTTCTTCCTGCAACACTGTCCCTTGGAACAAAACACATATTTCATTGTAGCCCCTTCTTCCTTACTAGAAATCTCTGGTAAGCGTTTCTTCTTGCAACATACTCAAACTAAATGGAGCATGGAGGGCACCCTCTCTTCATACCTCATTAGCTATGTGCGGTCGCAAGCCTGGGTTGCCTGGGAATCAGAACTCAGGGGTTGAATCCCACCTCCACTGCCCAGTTGCTTGCTTAGTCTTTATAAGCCACTGTTTGCTCATCATTAAAACAGGAATAATGCTGCCTACTTTAAGAGGGAGGATGTGAGAATTAAATTAGTCTATGTGTGGTGCTTTTCATTTCACAGATGTATGATGAATGTCAGGTCATTACTCTTCTCTTTTGTGTTGTCTCCCACTTGTCCCAGCCGTGAATCATCTGATCCAGAGTCGGCCAGGAGCCTCCTCAACCGCACTTTGTGTGTCCTTACGACACGTTTGGGGTCCATCCACCCCAGTCTTTGGGTCTTTGCCCTTGTTCTCCATGCCTGTTAGACCCAAGTGTGCAGATCTCACATTTCTGTTTCCATAAATTCTTTCCAGACGAGAGCAATAGTTTCCTTTTCTTTTGTAGTTCCTCTCACTTTTGTGTAGCACGTGACCTTTTATTTTATTGATTTGAATTTTTTTTATTGATTTCTGTTATTAACTTTATCCCTTCTCTGACATGACAAACTTGATTTTATTAGATACCTTATCTTTGTTTTTTGTTTTGTTTCCTTCGTTTGCTTATTTTAATGTTGGGCATGTAGCAGGCTCTTAGTGGTGAGTTGGCTTACAAATTGACCCCCAACAACGCTGCAGTAATCCAGTGCACATTCTGTGAAAGCTGGGGTAAGAGTAGTTGAAATTCTTTGCTCTGCACAGTTCCATGTACAGGGACATTCCTTTCAACCTTCTTTCCGAACATTGAGTGCTGTGGTGAGGATTGAAGATGGAAGGAGCATCATAGTCCTACCTCCTTCCTGTGGCATATCCGCATCTCCCTTCTGTCCTGAGGTGCTGGCTGCTGGAAGAGCGGAGTCCTTTGTTCTCCTTTATGTCAGGGATGTCTGATGAGAATTTTTTAGACATTTTTTCTCTTCTCAATAGTTGGCTTTGCTATTTCAAATCTAACCTTTCCCGTTAAAATTAGAGATCTGTTAGTCATATGTTCCTGAGCTCTTCTGTGTGTGTTAACTTAGAGATAATCGAATTTCTAGGGATAGCCTGATGTCTGTGTTCCATTTAATATTTAAATGCTTGTTCTATGCTAAGAGTTATTTTAAATGTTGCAAAAAGATAAATAGCACGTGGGCCCTGACTTATAGTTATCTGCAGTTTAGTTAAGGAAAAAAATGTGTATATTTAAAGTTATATACAGAAGAGAGACTTAAAAATTCTTCCTGAGAGAGATCAAAGAAGTTTTCAAAGGGAATATCTGATTTGAACCTCACTTCATGGTTTAACATGTTTAACATGACTCTGTCCTGTAAAGTCTTTCTTTTTTTTTTTTTTTTAACAGATGTGAGAGTTTTGCTATCTGATGTGCCACTTTGCCAGATGTCAACCCTGTTGGGTTACTCAAGTTTGTCCTCGTAACCTTCCAGATTGATAATTTGGAAAACGTAAGCCAGTGACTTGAAAAACATAAGTCTGTGATTTTTCTTTCCTATGATTTAGGTGACTGCTTAGAGAACTACACAGTCCACCCGCATCTGTTGAAATTGGTGAATAGACCAGCCATGTCTTACACTCCAGGAATCGGTGGCGATCCTGCCCAGCTGGCCCAGCATATCTCTTCCAACATCCAAAAGATCACCCAGTGTTGTGAGTTGGGTTTAAATTGACTTCACTGTTTGTTTCAGTTGTTGTCTGGACTAATGGAGGTTCATAAAAGGACAACTCTAGAGAATGAGAGGGCCAGGAACACTCCTTTAAGAACAGATTATTTTGAAGTGACAACTCTGTAGAGTAAATGTCAGAGAATATTGAAAGGGGTAATATTTCCTGAATTTTTTTGTAAAGACCCAGAGGTAGGCATGGAATACATTATTTCATTAATGTAATCAAGATTTAAAAGGATAATAGATAACTCGGATTTGCTTTAAAATGATCTGGTTCTAATGAGATGGTGAGTCTTGCTGATTCCGTCTCATAGGTTTGGAACTGAAGAGCACTACCAAGAGCTTCAGCAACAGGTGCTCACCAAAAGTAAAATCAGATCAGATAGTGGTTGGGTTGAGTTTTTAAAGGGCAGATGGGATGATACATTATTAAGGAGTGGGGAAGAACTAAGGAGGTGATATTTTAATCTGTTGAGGCAGATATTAGAGACAGTTACAACCTACATTCTCCACAAATTATCCTTTGCTACACTTGTCAGGGACAGAATACCAGTATACTGATCTAATGTGACACTTCATTAGGAAGTATTCCTTCTCAAAATATGTATAAAAATCTAAAAAATCATGATAGCTGATTTAAGCTTATAGATATTTTTTACTTTGTTTTTTTCTCTGAATCACAGCAATCACATACCCTGGATTATTCTAGTCATCTTGCTGTCAGCATAAGGCTCTCTGGGCATTACTTGAATTGTTTGAGGGAAAATTAATGAGGCTTACTGTTCAGGCTGCTTCCTTAAGACTGCTCTCTTTACCAGAATGTTTACACACTGCTAGAATACAGTGTTTTCAAATGACTGTTTTCTTTTTTCTTAACCTAATCATTAACTCCCTGACAGTTTTTACTCTACCTGAATGATTTAAATGAGATGCCAGTGTATTTCAAAAGAAAAGGGAATAAAATTAGGTTATAGATGGTTCTAAAAAGATGCTGCTGTGCACAATAGTATAAAATAACCTTATTCTGACTTGGAGTAATTCCTGGGTATTTTGGCTGTTCTTAGCAGAACAAGGAATGGTGTCAATGTGTGTTGTTATTCCCAGCAGGGAGGACTGTTCCAGTTTGTGCCAGGTTGGTAGCACGGGCTCTGCCTTGCTCATCTGGGTTCAGATATTCTCTGATGTACCCACAGAAGAGCCTCTCCTCTTCATGGCTCCTTTACTGCTGGCTAGAAATATTGCTGATCTGCCTCAGGGATTCTGGCTACCTGTGTGAAAATTAAGGCAGCTTATAGTTTTAATCTACATGTGTGGAAAATCAGGACCTTTATGCAAGAGAGGAGGCCAAGAGGCCTTCCTCCCAGGGATAGGGCAGCCATCCTGTGCTGAGAAAGCTAAATGGTATGTAATTCTCAGAAGAGCATGAGGAATGACAGGACTATACCAAGATTAAAGAAGTAGTAAGTATTAGATGGTATGAAAGATACGTGGGTTGAAGATTGTAGGTGACCTTGAACTGGAGGACATAAGGGTTAACTAAAATCAGGCCATGTTCCCTAGGAAAGAGATCAGCTGATCCAGTGGATGAGTAGTGATAAATTGGACCACAGTCGAATAATCATGGGATGGCAAGATGCGGAAGCAACCCACATGCCCATCAACCCATGAATGGATTAACAAGCTGTGGTATATGTATACCATGGAGTACTCTTCAGCCGTAAGAGAAGATGGAGACTTTACATCTTTTGTGTTTACCTGGATAGAGTTGAAAACATTCTTAGTAAAGTATCTCAAAAAAACTATCCAGTATACTCAATACTAATATGAAACCAATATGTAAACAACTGCATGCCCACAGGAAAGAAAAAGTACAAATAAGGTCTAGCAGGAGGGTTGGGGAGAGGAGGGAGAAGGCAGGAGGGAGGATTGGTGGGATCTCACCTAATGTGCACAATGTGAGGGTGTTCAGCATGACCCCTAGGTGAAGGGATCGACTACAACTTGAACTTTACCTTACAAATAAAAACAGTGTAACCTAAATATTGGTACCTTCATATTGATCTGGAATTTAAAGAAATGATAATCATGGCATGGTTGATAGCAAGGTATAGGACTATATTCAGGGCAATCTTGGAGTGTGTGGGAGAATAGTGATGAGACCCCCAGCTGTCCCACGTGAAGAGTTGTTAAGGAGACTAGGACTGTTAAGCTGAGAGAAGGGACAGTCGCCATCTCCAGGTATTTGAATCCCTGTCACGTATGAGACAGAAGGCTTGTGTTCTGCGTGAACATAGGGGCCTGCTCAAATGTGCAGAAGCTGCAGGTGGTCAGACTGCAACTTGAGAAGGAAGAACAGCCTTTGGATAATCCAAGTTGTTAAGAGAGATTTGCCTCCCTCAGGAGGAATGAGATCTCTGTTATTAATTGACCAGAGAGGATAGTTATTTACTTCTCAGATCTGTTATTAAGAGTTTTAAACACTGGAATAATGGTTTAGACTGAGTTATACTTTTGTGATTCTGTGTTGGTTCATTCAATAAAAAATTTATTAAGCACATACTACTTGCTAGATACTATTCCAGACCATGAGAATCTAGCAGTGAACAAACTCTGTAAGGTCTGCTCTCGTGTACTTTACAGAGTAGTGTGGAGAAATGGGTAGTTAAAAAAAAGAAAAATTGATGAGCGACATAATGTCCTATGAAGAAAACACAGTGAGAGCGACATGAAAGCAAGGTAACTGGGGACAGCTGCCTTTGTCTAGAACAGTGGTTCTCAACCTTCCTAATGCTGCGGCCCTTTAATACAGTTCCTGTGGGTTGCGACCTGCAGGTAGAAAATGATCGTTGAATAAGGAGGAGGAAGTGGGGAGAAGATCCAGGGAAAGAGCATTTCAGATGGAGGGGTAGCTTAGTGTTGAAATTCCGAAAGCAGTCCAGAACTTGAGGTTCAGAAAATGCCAGTGTGTCTGAAGCACAGCACCTGCGACAAGAGTGGCAGGAGAGGAAATCAGAGGAGGCTGGTGGGTTACCTGGGGCCTGAAGGCTGCGCGGAGTTTAGATTTCATGCTGAGAGGCAGCACACTCTGTGGTGTGGCCTCTGTGGTGGATGAAAGGTAACCCCCCCAGGAGTTCCATTCCCTACCACTCTCACCCTCGAGATGTTGCTTTTGCAGTTACATTCTCACTAGACTCTCCCTTTTGTGGTGGAAAGTGCAACCCTTTCTTTGGCCCTCTTCCTCCTTCCACAGCAGAGTCTGCTGGTTGCTCACTAACTACTGATTCTCTTTCTCTGCATTCTCAGATGGCTTAACTGTATTGAGTACACTGAAGTTCTGCGTTTAACCAGGGAAGGGACGCAATCAGAGCTGCACTTTGAAAAGGTTACTTTGGCTACTGCTTAGAAAGTAGATGTTGGGGGACCCTCAGGGGGATATACTGAAAATCACAAAGGTCTGGGGAGAGAGATGCTGGCTGGTACCTGAGCGATAGACTGGGGATGGAGAGAAGTGATGGTGTATTTTGGAGGTGGAGCCAGCTGGACCTGATGAATGTGTGAGGGGGTGGGAGGAAGAGAGAGGAGTTGAAGATACCTCTGCAGTTTCTGCGTTAAGCAACTGAGCAAGTGGTGTGGCAGGTGTGTACGGAGATGGAGAGGACTACAGTTCAGGACAAGTGGGGGACAGTTTTGTTTCCAAGTACATTGTCAGAAGTCTTTTAGACATCAAAGTGAAGATGCCGTACATCTAGTTTAGATATATGAACTTGGAGCTTAGGCTGTCATTACGGTATGAGTGGTATTTAAAACCATGGGTATAAAATACCACAGATGAGTGAGTGGAGTTAAGAGTATTTTAACAAAGAGAGACCTCATCTCTTCTAAAAATAGTTAAAGTATATCAAAGTCACAAAGGCAGCATGAAGAATCTGAGGAGTGACCAGTGAAGTAAAAAAATCAAGATGTGGTAGATTTCTGGAAATCAGAGTGTTTTAAGAATGAAGGAGGCATTATCTGTGTCTAATACTGCTGAGAGACTAACGTTAAAAAAGCAGAGGACTGGATTTGTTAAACTGATGACTTTGAAAAGCCTGAGCTCATCGTCATATTCCAAGTGTGAATGGAGGAAGGGAGGGAGACCAAGCTACGCCTCACCTTTTAAAGAAACTGCAGACTCCTGCCCAGTTCTGTTACGTTACTGACCATGTACAGGGCCGCACTTAGCTGCCAGGGAGGCCGAAAATGTCTTTGAGCCGGATCTCAGTGTGCTCAACTAAAGTTAAACCATTTAAGAAGGAAGAGAAAGAGAATCAATGGTTAGTGAGCAACCAGCAGACTCTGCTGTGGAAGGAGGAAGAGGGCCAGTGAAAGGGTTGCACTTTCCACCACAAAAGGGAGAGTCCAGTGAGAATAAAGCTGCAAAAGTAACATCTTAGAGGGTGGGGGTGGGGAATGAACCCCTAGGGGGTGGTCTACCTTTCATCCACCTTAGAGAGGCCACACCACAGAGTGTGTGACAGATGGAAGCTGATGGGCAAAGACGGGCGAGTTCCTGGCTGTGTGGGTCTGGTTTTCACTGAAACATGAGGCCGAGTCATCAGATAGAGAATGGGAGGGGAAAGCTGTGGTAAATTGATGGAAAGAAGAGAAAGTTTGCTACTTAAGTTTTTACAAATGAGGTTCCTCCCAGGGAAATAGAGAAGGGGGTTTGGCAGGTTGAGTACACATTTGAGATCTGGGGTTGTAAATTTGGTAAAAGCAGTCCTTTGGTGAAAGAGATTCTGTGTCTAAATGAAGAGGAGTTTAGATTTAGATAGAATAAGTTACTGTTAAGAATGTGACCTACCATCCAGTATGCATTACTGACGAGAGCTATGCAAAAATCACATGAAAGGCGGGTGTGAAATTTCAGTTCACTTTTTCCCCCATCTGGTAATGCTAATAATACTGGATGTGATTGAATAAAATGGTACTTTGCACCACACT